TGAAATGTGCATACTCCTTTTGCAGAAGGAACAAAGTGTATGCTACTCCTGCTTAATTTTAGACTGCTAAATACAGAGTCTGTTTAGCTAACTGTATAATTGCAAAATAGTTTTAAAAACGCTTAATTTTCCCCCTTTTCAGAATTTTCATTGCAGTTGCTGCAGATCATAGTTATGTTTATCTGTTCATTTTTTATGCTGTATACTGAACACAGTTGTTGAAACAGTCCATAATTGAGAGCATGATATATAAACAAAATTGAAATGGAAGCAGGACTGATTGCATTCATACTGCATTCTGCATCACAAATCAGGTTTAAGCCTAGGGTTTTGTCTTCCCCCCACCTCCTAAAGAGAAATTCAGTTCATTCAGTTTCATCATTATTTGGAGACTTTTCATTAAAACACAACATTTTATATAATATTGACTGTATTTCATGTTGGAGGAGCTAAGCACTTTCTACTCATGGGGAAGAGCTCAGTCTGAAAGGATGCCTTGAGCTTTCTTAACCAGGAGAGGAATACTGCAGGAGAGATTTATATGAAACCCCTCTGATGGAAAGAACAATAATGCTTAATCAAAGTCAGCATGCAACTAACATATTCTATGGATTCTAGTCTCCCCTTGATGCAAAAGCATAAAATTCTATTTAGCTTTCATTGAAATAATGTGTGCACCAATGTTCCCTCTAATTTTTGACAGGGTGCGCAAAACATTTCTTCTGTGCAAATTTTTGACAGGCTGTGTGTGCAAATTTTTGTGCTTCTGTGCAAATTTTTGTGCACATGGTGTTTCGCCGAGTGCACGGGGTTTAGGATCTGTGGGACGTGCACACGCACACAGTTTAGAGGGAATAGTGGTGTGCACTGAGGGGAGAATAACCCCAGTGCATTGAAGTATATATTGAAACACATTAAAACAGGGGAGATAATATAGCGAAGGATAGTCGTTACAGCAATAGACAGGAAATCAGCTCTCTCTAGGTTTCAGATTCTGCTTCAGGCCATGACCATGTAAATTTGTGTAAATCACTACATTTCCCTTCTGTAAGGAGGACAAAACACCTACTCCCTCACAGGGCTCGGCTCTTGGACTTTGTTAGTTTCTGTCAGTGAAGCATATTCAGATCACTGATCAAAGGCAATATAGAAAGTCAGAGTATTATTCTGTTTAACTTCAGATATTGGATTAAAACTCTTCTTTAAATAGTCTTTCCATCGCTTCTTTTAACACTTTCAGCTACTGGCAGGAAGAACTTGTGTTTCAACTCATGTATCAAAGACATAAACCAGAATTGGATCTTAACTAGAGTAGAATTAAAACTTTAAAATACCATCCTATTTTTAAGCACCTACATCACAGTATCTGAGTGCATCAGATTTCTCATGTACTTATCCTGTGAGGTAGGGGCACACCTATTTTATAGATAGGGAACTGAGGCACCAAATAATTGAAGGCCAGATTTTCAAAGTGTAGGAGCCTGGTGATGCAGGCAGACACCTAGTGGGATTTTCAAAATTGGCTAAACAGATTAGGCTTCTAACTCCCATTGATTTCAATAGGTTTGGATTCAAAACAGTGAAATCAATGGAAATTAGGAGCCCAAACGCTTAGGCACTTTTGAAAATTCCAATGGGCACCTAAAGTCTTTAGGCACCTAAATCTGAGTCTTTAGGCACCTAAAGACCTTTGAAAATCTGGCCCTAAGTGCATTTCCGAAGGCCACACCGGAAGTCTGTGGCAAAGCAGAGAAATGAACAAGAGTCTCCCAGTTCTCAGGCTAGCACAATAACCACTGGATCTTTTTTACTGTCATTTTCATTCGGCAATTTCTTGCAGCCTAGTACTTTTGGGGACAGTTGTGTAGCTAGGTTACAGAAGTCAGGTGTGCTTCTTCCAGGCTTTGTAAGTAGAATGACTCCAGTCAGTATCTTTCATGACTTCGAAAATGTTTTAATCATGACAAGTGAGCTAGACATTAACCCAGAAGCACAGAGAGCCTTGGTGCGGTATGGCAGGAATGGTGTTTTCAGTGCTTTTGCTTTGAAGGAGGTTGTAAGAACACTCCTCAAGTTGCGTGCCACCTATACTTGCGAACACACACACACACCCAATTCACCAGCTTCCGCTCCGTTATTACTAGCTGAGCCAAGGGGATTAACTGCACTAATAATTTGCCCTTTGTTGGATCTGCTTCTTTCAGCCCTGAATCTCTCTCCCGAGATGTAGGCCCCATAACAAGAGGGCTTTAAACACATGGAGTGATGGAAGGAACGAAAGAATCCATGAGAAATGCAAACATAAATCTGGACCAAAACCCTGGATCTAAACACACCTGAACTCAGAGATATTCAGAATCTGGGTCCCCACTTCCCTTTTCCAGTGACTTGCTGCCAATATTTTAACTACAGGCACCGATAAAAATAACGTTCACCGGATGCTGTGGTAAGGCCGAGGAGCCATACGGTTAGGCAGCATCCTGAAAGGGAGTGAACATGACAGACAGAGGCGTTATTGCAGTCTTTTCTTAAATGTAATGATGGATTAATAAGGGCCTCTTGGGAACCTTTCACAACCCCCTCCAGCATGTCACTGCTCCTTTCTCTACAACAGGGAAAACTAACCCACCCCCCCACACACACATCTGAACATTCCTGAACACAAGAGAATGAAACAAGGTAAAAGAAAACTGAGTATGTAGAAGAGAGAGAAAGTTGGATCTTTCAGAGAGAGAAAGTTGGATCTGGATTGAAATCCAGTCTGAGGGACTCATGCCCGTCTCCACACTGAGACAGTGGATCCACATTTGGGATGCACCAGGCTTATTGTTTTCTCATATCAAAGACAAGACCTTGGATACTGATGTTTTGCTGGGGAGGGTTATGGAGGATAATTAGGAAATGCACAAATTTTGTTAGGTCAATTTGTGACCCTCTCAGGAAAGGAACGCTCTGTTTCTATAACTAATTTGCTAGAATTCTTCATAAATCTATTGTACTGCTACAGCCAGTAATTAAGTTTTCAAAGAGAACATGGCAACATTCCAGCACAGAGGTTAATGCTAAAGTTGCGGAAGAGGAGCAGAGTTGACACATTGTATTAAAAATTGCCTGAAGGGTAGAAAACAAGTGGAACCTCTCCAAATTAAAAAACAAGGTTAATTGCAGGGTGCTGCAAGGATCAAAGTTGGTGGTTACAGTCTTTTATTAGTTGGGTAAGTGACTTAGATGACAGGCTTCTAAGACAGAATATTAAGCTCTATAAATGCACTTTAACTGGAAAGTGCACTATTTAATGGAATAAGCATTGGCCGGATTCTATTATTTAAGTACTCCATCATATGAATGGCAGTTACCACTGTAGATCAATGCAAAGAGCAAAAACGGGAGTCTTAAAACAAGAGGAAATGTCTGCCATATGGAAAAGTGCCATAGCTTGGTAACTTGGAAAGATGTGCCAACTACTGGACTCAGAAATCATAAACTCTGTCCAACATGTGCCTGAAGTGAGAAAACCTCTGATAATTTCTAGGTTTCATTTAGTATAAATGAAAGGGGTGGATAATATATTGATAGGCACATGAATTTTTGGGAAACATGACAGAAGAATAGGAAGGTGTGTGCTTATTGAGGTTCTAATCCCATGTAACATCTGTTTGAAACTCATAGGTCCAACTCCTCTGGGTGTGCAGACTACTGAAGCCAGTGAAGTTATTCCCCCAAAGAACATCACCCGTAAAGTTAATAAATTCACTACTGCTGTACGCAAGTGGAAGAAGAGAGTATAATGGGCTGTGATACTGATAATACTTAGTTGTTGCAGCAGTACATAATGCAACTAACCAGTGGTCGTTACTATACTTTAAATGATAGTAATTAATTCCTTTTCCTGCTTTGCCAGGTGTAATTGACACTGGAGTTCATGTAAAAGCTTATTATTTTCTGAGGGTAATTTGTGATGAGTCTATAATCTGCTTTATAAAGTGATTTCTCAGGGTTAAGCTGCCGTAGCAATATGAAACATTTCATCAGTCTCAATTGTAAAGGCCATAATGTTTTACAACGGAGTGTATTCACTGAAAGTCAATGGATAGTTTGAATTTTTATTAGATGGGTACTGGTCAGTCCTGGTAATTTTGCCTTTGAATAAAGAGCCAAGCAGATTTCTCGAAAGGCAAAGTGTGGTTCCTGTACCAGGGTCTCTCATTATCCTCCCCTTTTCCCTTTGAGCCATTCATATTCCCTTCCATATTTTACTGCTTCACCCTTCTCTGAGTCAGACAGCTCTCTCCTCCTACCTACCACCTTGACCCCACCCTTCCCAGATCTTCCCCTCTCTGACACTGTTTTATCTCCTCTCTTCTCCCTATTCTTTAACCTTTCCCTTTCCTCTGGCTCCATCTCCTCCACTTTCAAATGTGCCCTGGAAACCACCGGCTGGAAAAACTCTCTTGACCCTTTGGCTCCAAATTCCCTTCCACCCACAATGCCTCTCCACAGATTCTATCTTTGAACTCTAGAAGGCCAACCCCAGTAGGGGGATGGAACCAAGCCTTTGCCCATTCTCTGCCACACTCCCTGCCCCCCCCCCGGAACCGTTCCCTGCCCACCTGCTTCAGGGAGGACATACATGGATGGGTTGAACATCCCTACTTAGCCCTGCAGCTAGGTCTGAAGTTCCAGTTAGCCCTTGTAGGGGTTTTACTACCCTTCCAGGGGTACAGAGTTCAAGTTACAATCTAGCTCATAGTTAATGAGGTTGGGAAAAAGCAGATGGGGCAGATCAGAGGTAGTGTTGTTTTATGGCTTACTTGGGATGCCACATACTGTTATCAGTTCAGGAAATATGACTTGGCAGTCCACAGGGTGACTGATCATGGCTTGCACTGATTATACAGAGACATCATATTTACTCTGGGCAAGCGCCATTTTTATTATTAACGTGTTGGCTTGCCAATCTGGAGACGACAATGTGAAATAATTGTTTGTTTTGTTTTTAGGGTAGAAGAAAGTTTTAAAACCTTATTCTGGTCAATATTTGGCTTGTCTGAAGTGATATCAGTGGTGCTGAAGTATGATCATAAGTTCATTGAGAATATTGGCTATGTACTCTATGGAGTTTATAACGTTACCATGGTGGTGGTGCTGCTCAATATGTTAATAGCCATGATCAACAACTCTTATCAGGAAATTGAGGTAAGATAAACAATTTGATTACAGAGTATATATTTACTGTTATATGTTACAAAAACAAGGAAATTACAGGATCTACTATATAAGATGTCATAGTATGACAGAAGCCATTTATCTTAAAATTCTATGGCGACTGAAAAGTCTCTATCCCAGAATTAGACCTAAGCGAATAATTCACAATGAACCATTTATACGATAGATTTATCTTCCTTTTGTTTGTAGAATATCTCTGAGCAGATCACAATTTCCTTAGATATATTCATTTGAAAGTAGTTCTTGATTTTTTTCAAACCCATGAACAGTTCTTTGTGAGCATTCACTATCTAGGCTAGAGTCACAAAAATAGATTAGATTAAATAGATTCCCCAAACTCAGGCCTGGCAGCTTTGAAAGTCATTCTCCATGAGCATTTGTGCAAGTAAAACTCTGTGACAAGAATGTTTGTAGGAAGCAAACACGAAAGAGCCACGAAGAGCAGAGGCTAACTCATTAGAGAATCTGAATGAATAGTTGCAGAAATGTATATCCAGGATTCGGCTGTGTCCTGTATTGTTCATATTAGCAGGCTGGATTTGCTAAATACTTGGGAGAAGAAACTTTCTGCTAATAAAAGTAAAGCCAGGGAAGTTATTAATATTGGACACTGTTGTCCGTGTTTTCTGTTTTCTTGTTCCAGTTTCTTCAATGTCAAATTCCTACAGTTGGATTTGTATTAATTAGCTGTTCTGATCTATCCTCAGAACCCAGCTCTGCAGAAGGCCACAGCTGAAAATATACCCCTGTGCCTTATGTCTGCTGCAATCAGGACGGATGTCAGCAAACACTTACATAGTGCTGTCTACCCAAGAAAGCTTTCCCTGCTTTCAGAAGGCACAGTTGTATTCCCCAAGAGATCCTTAACATTTACGATCAAGCTTCTCAGTTAGTTTCTCTTCCTCTGAGATGGGACTTACTTTCAAATGGCCTCAACCTCCTAGTGCATTCTTCCTTTTTTCTTGGAGGAAACTCTTTCCACCATTTTTGCAGTGCCATCTTACAGCTGTTATCTGTTATTGCAGGAAAGCATGCTCTTCAGCATCAATATTTCTAAGGTTGCTACTTTCAAATAAAGAAAACAAAACAAAAATCCCTCATGTAAAGCTATCTGTGCTGCAGAGCTCTAGGCTAAGCAATTCATGGAAAGGATCTTCCAAAGTGTGTGCATGTTGTTTTCATTTATTCAGTTTAGGCACACAAGTACCCTGATGCACACATAGAAGCCATGGTTTGTGTGCACACATGTCCGTGCAAAGCCAGTTTGCACGCATGCATAACTGTTTATACACCCCTAAACTAAGCATGTGTAGTTTTGCACCCACACTTTTGAAGATTAGGTCCCAGAGAGTCGGGAACAGTCATTAGTAGTACAAGCCCAGGTAGATAAGGCAAACAATGCATACAACGCCCAGGGTATAAGTCTAGGACAGAATTGTTTAGCTAAAAAGAATAACTGCACCTAAGCAAGGCTCGACCAGGGGCTCTTTCATAAGGGAGTGTTTATTAGGGAGCATGAGTAACTTTTTAGTTGACTCTGTATTGAAAAAGGGAAAAAATGAAATCATGCATGAATATTACATTTGCTTGCATTTTGTTAGAACATAACATTTGCATGGCATTGTTAATATAAGTACTTATATAGCCAGGGGAAAGAGAGCAGCTGTTTGTAGGCTAGGAATTACTAGGCCATATTAGCTTTGCATTTGGCTGAGAATACAAGTATAATGAAAGTTCAGATATAGTAACTGGTAGGTTTGCTCTAGCAATTTGTGGTCTGGAAGTGTGTACCAATTTATGAGCATTGAACATTTTCTGTCTACAAACACCAGAATTAGTTTTAGTATACCACTTATGGGGTATTTCAGAATATGATTGGAAATGGGGTGGGAGAATCATAATCAGTATTTGTAGTAGCTGGTAAAAAGGGAATAATTCAAATTGTACCAGTGCTGCCTTGTAGAATTCTGAGATCATCAAACTGTATTTGGTCTGGTGCAATGTGCACCGGAGGTAGATATTTCCCCCCTTGTTTTATCATAGGGATGATGTATAATATTCTTCCTTTTCCTTTCTCTAACGGTTAATGGGGTTCTCCATAGCAAGGAATATAGCAGATATTCATCCAATAATTTATCCATCAAATAATACTTGATGGGCTACAAAGCTCATCAAATGCCACAAAGATAAATTATTCAGGGTCAGATTGTACCTTTAGGCACTGTCCAGAAAAAGGGATGGTGTATAAAATGCGCCACTCCAGGAGTAGCTTGAGGAGGCACTGTGATTCAGAGACCCAATTCCCTCCCTGCTTCCCCCTTACTTAGGGGAGGGCAGGGAAGGGAAGGTGCTCGCCTATGCCAGCAGGAAATTATTACACCGCCCCATACCTGTTCAGCTATGCCATTCCCTGCCACTCCTTGCACATCTGACTGGGCAGTGAGGAAGCAGGATGAACAGTGCCATTTACTTGTGTGCAGCTGGGCAGAAGGGGTTGGTAGCTTCAATAAAATTGTAAACCTAAGGGGCGGTCCTTACAGTGCTTGACTCCTTTTCTGGGATGTGTAGTCCAAGCCTCAGTCTAGTCTTCAATGACTATCTGCAACATTCACTGAATAACATATTTGATAAGTGGGATTTGACCAGCTCTACTTTTCATATTTGCACATGTAGCTTAGTACAAACGTCAACCAGTTTTGTCAGCTCAAGTACCTACCCTTTCTACCTGTGACAGAAGTTATTCTTGTTCCTGTGACAAAAATTCCATAAGATATTGGTTGAATGTCTTTGATAGCTCATAGGTCTCACTTATAACCATGTCTTCTCACAACACCTCCTCAGGCCCTACCTTGGTGTTCAGGAGGCCCTTAATTCCCAAATGCAGTGATAGGATGTCCCATAATGTCAATATAGTTGGTGAAATGTCTGGAACAGGTGATAGTCCAGTGAATTACATCTTCCAGCAGACACCTAACCTGTTCCTGCCTCAACCCACAATAAAATCTCATTTTAACCTTGTCCTTCACAGAGCACTGGCAAGAGAGACAGTGGTGGACAGGAAGTAGTTATCCTGTTCGCTGCTGGACAGTCCCTCTAGATGGGATATTTATTAAAAAGTGATTAAGTATCATCATTTGTGGGGGCAGCCTGCTCATGTCTAATCCAGCATCTTGATCAGCCTCTTATCTCTCTGCCAGACACAAAAGTAAAAACATGTTAACCAATTACTGTTATTAGGTTTAAGTTTTGTTTTATAAGGTTCAAATCCAGGCAATACTCCTGGGGGGATTCTGCAGGGGTGTGCGCCCACAGAAAACACCCCTGCAGATTTCCTGTGTTTGCCTGCAGAAAACTGCAGGGAAGCCGTGCGGGGGATGACCATGGGCCCAGGGGTTTTTTTGGGGGTGGTGGTGGGGGGGTTGCCTCCCTCCAAACAGAGGTGAGGCATCGGGGGGGGCACACAGGGTTAAGCGTGTAAGAGCAGAGCTGCCCAGCTGAAGGAGGCTGGGTCTTTGCTCCTCTGACTCCGCAGCTGAGGGCTGCCTCCTGGGTCCTAGCGCCAGTCGTGCTCCCCTTCTGTGTGCTGGGAGCCTTCCTGTTTTCTCTTCTGTGCAACAGTGAGTGCCTGTGGTGGGGCTGGGTAAGGGGGGTGGGGGGCTGAGGGGAAGAGGCAGTTGGGAAGGAACAGGGGTGAAATAGGGCAGGGGGGGAATGTGGGAGTGAGGGGAGGGGGATGGAGAAGAAAAGGGGATAGGATAATTGTGGAGGGAAGCAGGAGCCCAGCATGCGGCATCCACTCATCAGGAGCTGGGGCTCCCCCATTAGCAGGCCCATCGAACCCTCACCCTGACAAGCCCTACCCCCCCACACCCAGACCTCCACCCCACTGATCCCCAACCAGCTGCACCCGGACCCCAACCCCATCAAGCCCCCCCTCCCCCAGCACCGGATCCCCCCATGGAGCCCTCCACACCCCAAACTTCCTGCTGAGCCCCATCTCCCCACACCCAGCCCACCTTCACCTGGATCCTCTGCAGAATCCCATTGCCCCTTCACCCGGAACCCCACAATGAGCCTCTGTGCATCCAGATTTCCCACTGAGCCACCCGCACCCAGATTGCCCCACACAGAAACGTCTCACCCCACACCTGGATCCCCACACACTAAGCCCCTCCACATTTCAATCCTGTTGGGTTGAGCCTGCTCAGCCCTACCTGGTGCAGAGGGACAGGGCCCTGGGGCATTTCTGGGGCAGGCCCAGCCCTTGCACTGTGTCAGGGTCAGGCGTTGCCTCACTGCCCAGTCTCTGTACTGCGAGAGGTGGGGGCTTCAGGGTGATCTCCCACCTCAATGCAGCCAGTGGCCCATGCTGGAGCCACATATATTTACTGACAAATAACATTTGCAGAATTTTAAAATATTGTGCACATAATTTTAAATTTTTGGGGCGCAGAATTCCCTCGGGAGTAAGTCAATAGCGGCTAAGTGAGCACTGCTCCATTGAAGTCCATGAAGTTGGATCTTCATAAACGAGGGCAGAATTTGGCCCAAGGCCTCTGTTTTGTAATATGCCCATTTCTGCCAAACATCTGCCAATCATCAGAGATGTGTACTGATGAGCGAGTTGCATTATACATTTGACCATAGTACAGATGTGAGTACAGATTATTGGCAAACCTATTTTCCCATTGATGCTACTGGCTTCTATATATACCACAATGAAAACAGCTGTAAAGCAGCTACAGATGGTCTTTTTTCAACCAGTAAACAATCTTGAAATAAGGGTCAGACCATACAAGTACTGAGTAAAATCATAAATGCCACTCGGTTCAATAAAGACTGCACTAACCTTACATTTACCTTCAGAAATGTTCTTGGTGTCTTGGCTCACCTTGACAACCTAATAATGGTGAATCATCTTAACTGAGAAGTGAACTTGCTTATGTGACATGTGCTGACTGATGGAGAACCAAGATATAATGATGATGAATACAAATAGGACAAACAAGGAAATCAGCTGGTATTTTCTTATAGTTTTTTAATTATCAGAAGAGATAAGTGGCCCAAGCTGCTGTTCAGAATTTTTTAGTGAATCAGATGACAACCATTACCTAGTAGTTAAATATTGCTGTGATTAACTTGATACACAGTTTATTTTGAATGGAAATTACATACCCACTTCCTCGTGCTTTGCATTGAAAATATATCCTTAGATAACTCTATTTATCAGAAAAAAGAAAAGGAGTACTTGTGGCACCTTAGAGACTAACCAATTTATCTGAGCATGCTGTGGCTCACGAAAGCTCATGCTCAAATAAATTGGTTAGTCTCTAAGGTGCCACAAGTACTCCTTTTCTTTTTGCGAATACAGACTAACACGGCTGTTCCTCTGAAATCTATTTATCAGCTAGGCCCAAATATCAGATCATTTTTGTATGTGTTCCATTTAACGAAGAAGATGTCTTTGCCATCCGAAGAAACAGGGCCATGTTCAGTGATCAAATAAAAAGAGTGGGGGTACTTCACATCTCAGACTCTCTCTGCAACCTTGTGGAATTCCTAATCCACACAAACCTGGCAATTTTGGACAGGGCCACATGGAGATTTTGAGGGTCTGGGGGCAAAATCTAAAACTGAAACCCCTCCCATCCTTCCAAAAAATGATCCTGGAGATTATAGAGTTTAAGAAGGGGGGGGTGGGATCAAAGATGGCCCAGGCCTGTAGGGCTGCTGCTCTCCCTGCAGGGATAGGGTGGCTCTGCCCTGTGTGCAGCTAAGGAATTGCTCCCAGACCCTCCTCTCCCTGTGTGGATTGTAGCATTATCCCTGACATCACTCCTACCACCGGGGTCTCGGCCTGCCAGGTCGCCTGGATGGCAGGTGTCAAACCTGAGTGGCATTGTCACCCTCTGCAACAGGTTGCTACATGACTCACTCAACTTTGCCCCAGCTGCCTCTCCATCACTTGGAGGGGCCTGGAGCAAACCGCCCTTCCCCACCCCCCACCTTGGTCAGCCCTGATTTGGGCTCCTTTGTACTACAATATCATCACGTTTTCTCATAGCCACTCTTTAAATCTGCAGAGAGCAGCTGTTTACTTAGCACAGCCCCTCTGGGCTTGCCCAAGGCAAGCTCCTTTTCAGGTCACCTGGTACAGGTACTGCCTACAGAATTTGGGGGTGCCATTTGACCCTCAAGTACAGTGATGTGCTAGAGGTCTAAAGCACATCTAGCTACCTGATGCAACTGGTCCAAGAAGTCCAGCCGCTGCTAACTTGCCCATGGTCTAGTCTAGTCCCTAGTGTGTGGCAATGATATCATAGAGAAGAGGTAACGGCCCTTAAAAGCAGTTGCACTTTGTTGGTCATCTGTGCTCCCTATCAGAGTCTCATTTTGCTCTGCTCTTTACCTGCTTTTTCCCCCCATGAGGTTTCGTTCTCTCTCTCTCTCTCTCTCTCTCTCTCTCTCTCTCTCTTCCATTCTCCTATGTTTTTTGCAGTCCCTTCTTGGGGGTGTGTGTGAACTCATTAACTCTGGAGTTCAAGTTCAAACCAGGGATGTTTGACAGGTGGAGAAGGAAGGAAGGACAGGTGATCCCATTCCTAATTGGCACCTCTAGTCACTTATTCATTGTCCAAGCTAGAAGGAATGTGACATTCAATTCAGCCAGCTGCAAGACTGACATTCTCTCTGCTGGTCTCTGACCAGCTGCTCTGTTCAAATCTTGCTCACTACAAGGTTGCCCTAGAGAAGCCTAGGAACTTGTGACGTTCGGAAACCACACCAGGCTTAGCAGACAAAGCATAGGGAACATGTTGGAAAGGATAATTATTTAATCTTTAGCCGCCACCAGACAGAGAGAGACAGGCTCGTCTGGGCACTGGGCTCACCTGTCTCCTTCCTCCACACGAGGGACAGCAACATCTGGAAGGAGTTGGCAGAGGACTGATTATTGATGTCCCCACCCCCAGCCACTCCTTCTCCACAGCAACAGCTGGAGGTACAGGGGGTATGTCAGTGCCTTCCAGCTTCCTGACATCATCGTTCGCTCAGCTCGGAAACTGGACTCAGGATATGTACTTTTTCTTTCTTTTTTTTTCTTTTTTTTTTTCTTTATACTGTATCACCACTGCTTGCGGGACTCCCTTTCCTACCACTACAGTCCTTACCTATCCCACCTGACTCCCCACATTGAAATGAAAGGTAGTACACCCCAAAAACAAGTAATTAAAAAGGGTGGTCCTACATGCAGAACATGGCCGTGCATATTGTCTGTGTGCCAACTGAAAGCAGTTGGAAAAGGTGGTGCATATAAGTAAATACCCAGATTTCACTATAAAGAGGTTACATGGATTTGGGAGCCAGAAATCTGCAAGACTTTTGTGTCAGAGACACTCCTGTTGAGTAGCCTTTAGTGACAAGGTTCATACTCTTGCCACCTTTGTGCATCTGTCTGAGTGCCAATGCAATAATACTTCTCAATTCCTTTCAAAACACTAATTCTGCAATTCATTTTCCCTTCCCCACGGCAGGAGGATGCAGATGTGGAGTGGAAATTTGCTCGTGCCAAGCTCTGGTTATCATACTTTGATGAAGGAAGGACTCTGCCTGCTCCTTTTAACCTAGTGCCAAGCCCTAAATCGTTTTATTATCTCATAATGAGAATAAAAATGTGCCTCATAAAACTCTGCAAATCTAAGGCCAAAAACTGTGAAAATGATCTTGAGATGGGTATGCTGAATTCCAGGCTACGGGTATGTCATATGCTTCTTTCCTTTTAACACCCTGAATGTAAAACGACTATCATGTCCTCTGTGGGCATCAAGGGAAGGAATTCTACTTTGTTCACAGATGAGCAAAAAGAGCTGCTTAGCATTGTACTCTATTTTATTTATTATTTGTATTACAGTAGCACCTGGAGAGCCTAACCAAGGTAGTGGCCTCCTTGAGTTAGACACTGTGCAGACATCTAGTGAAAGATAGTCCCACCCCAAAGAGCTTATGGTCTATATGAACTGGGAAGGGGAACAGGTGGAGTGACTTCCCCTAGGAAGTCACAAAGCAGGCTAATGGCAGAACTGGGAATAGAAGAATGCAGGTCTCCTGACGCCTACTCCAGGTTGCTAGCCACAGGATCATGCTGCCTCTTGAAACCGTTCTTTATGTATTGCCTAAATTCACTTTATTGCCATTATGTAAAACTCAGCATTTAATACCACATCTGATTTTATCATTGGAAGCCGGGTTCCAACCAGGGAATATTAACTTTTCCCAGCAACTTGAAGCCACAGTTAACAACCTCCCCGCTTTCAGCTGCCTAATGACAATCATACACAGTAATAGATCGGCCCTGCCTCATCCACCATCTGTTCATTCTTTTGAAAGAGATGTGTGCTTTGGAAAAGCACAACTCCTCTGACTTTGGAATGGGCACATTTGTGAGAAGCAAGTTAGTTTTCCCTTAGTACCAATGTGCTTGCGCATGACAAAATATGAGACACACAGAGAAACATTCCTAAAAATCTGACACTTTCCAACAGAATTGTTCCTGAAGAAATGTCAGTGTAATCGGGGAGAGGCTAATCCTGTGGAAATATATTCTTTGCAGAAATGTCATTGGGACAAAACTGTTCTTAGGAAGCAGATTTTTTTAAAAAAGCCAAAAAACCCGAGGCAGATCTATTCTTTTCCTTTGCAGCACTTCTGTTAGTTCGGAGTTTTGGAATAAAACGCCCAAAGCTATTCACCCAACATTCAGCTGCGGTTTACCGGGACTGTCAAACTCAGCAAAAATTAAAATGTGATGAAACAGCTTCGTTTCCACTGTACTGACCCTCACTTAACTTCCTCGGCTCAAGCTGGGTTTAAAACAAAAAACAACACTGGGAACTGAGACCTAAACGAATGTGCAGGATTTTTGTCTTTGTTTACAGTTGCTGCACGTGACAGAGGCTGCTCCTAGGCAGCATCACCAGGAGCTTCAGGGGGCTTGTTAATATTCAGGGGGCATGTTCTAATACAGCAGGGCATGCTTTTAAATTTTCCTCTCGGTGTCATTGCACATTTTTAGGCCCTCTGAACTGAAAACTGTCAGCTGCTTCTGCCATTCACAGGACATAAGCTGAGGAGAAGAGAGGCTCTGGAGGGCACAGATGTAGAGCAGAAGAGAAGCAGTGAATCTGCCCTGATGGGACCAAAGAAATTCATTGCGTTGGCAAAATAGCAGAGGCAAATAAGCGGGAAGAAGCATAGAACTGAGCTGGGAGGGAAGGAGAAGAAGACTGAGATCAAAGGAATATGCAGAAAGGATGAGAACAGGAGGCGCTACCAAAGAAGAAGCTGACAGACCCAAGAAAGGGGCCAGAGTGGAGATAAGAGGAAGAGCTGAAGCAAGAATAGTATAGACCAGGCCAAGGAAGAATGTAGGAGAGGAATGCAGAGGAGGGCTTTACAGAGCTTGCCATTGGAATCTGCAGTGTGCCTTTGTGGCTGATTGGAGTTGCTTGATACTATCCATTGAGTCTGATGAGTAATTTTCTCTTCTCTTTGTTCAAAAAGCTATTTTCAAAATTCAGCCACAATCACCAGGAATTAGAAGTAATTAAGAAAGCTCTGCCTCTCGCCTCCTAACACTGTCTCAAAGTGGTGTGAGAGGGATACAGTCAAAACACCTTTTGTTTAGATGATATGAGATTGAATTTCTCATCCAATAATTCTTCTGTTCATTCTGGCAAAGAAATGAATGGGTTGTCTCCCTCTTCACCCTCTGATAAGCTACCAGAGGCAATGTAGCCTAGAAGATAGAGCACTGGACTAGGTATCTGGAGACCTGGGTTCAATATGTGTCTCTCTCCCTGGGCTGCTGAACGGCCTTGGGCAAGTCACTTCACTTTTCTGTGCCTCCATTTTCCTGTTTGTAAAATGGGGATGACCTACTTGTCTCCTCTGTGATGCACTTCGAGATCTACTGATGAAAAGTGCTATGAACGAGCTAGATATTAATTATATTATTAAGTAGGGAATGGAAGTGCTGGTTTTCTTCTGCAGGATCTCCAACCTGCTCACAGAATGCAACATTTTCTAATGTTTGCATAAGTCTGTTTAGCCTGAGGTGGAGAGGTTGTTTGGGGAAAGAAGCTGTTACAAACTTAATGTTTCATTATGTTTTATAATTTCAGAAAGTTCGTTTTCAGTCAAGCGCTCGAAATTCAGAAAACTTTACTGTGAAGAAGGGTTATAACAAGCCCACGAGATATCAGGTAATGACAGTAGAACATCAAGAGCAAGGAAAAAGATCTGTAAGCAAACAAGGCTTATTTGCAAGGATCAGATTTGTCACTATACAGTGGGCTCCATCCTGTGATGTGTCAAGCAGTGACCTATGCCAAATCAAAGGACACAGTAATTTATGGGACTGAGCCCAAACCTTTTAGTTTCACAGTTGCTTAAAGCAGCATGGCAGTGTAACAGCTACAGAAATACATTTGACATTAACGTGATTGTCATGGTAATTAATTGCCATGGTAATTAATTGAAAAGTTCACTGGTATTGAACTTAATACAAGAAAAGTTCACCAGAGCTTCATCCTAGACTCATTGACAGTGTTTCATTTTGTCATGACACAATGTTGTCTCTCTAGACTTTACTTTAACACCCTCATGTGCTTTCTTTGGCAATATTTTGTCCTATTTAGGTGGACGTGCAATGTGATCTGTTACAAAAATAATTATGGGAGCCGTGATGACACAGCTTACTCTCCCCACACTGTGAAATTACCATTGTTGTAAGGTCCTGAGTAGAACTGGGTGAAATATTTCTTACAAATAGTTTATTTGCCAAAAAAGGCAGTTAGGGTGAATATGGCCACTAGAAATTTGGAAAAAAGCTTTCAAAAAGTTGAAATATTTCAACTTGACACTTATGAAATGAAACACTTTGACTTTTCATTTCAAAATTACAATTAGTTATGAAATTTACCTAGATTTCACTTAAAAAAAATCAAAAAAGGGTTTTAAAAACCACTCTAAATGAAACTAAACCTTTCATTTTGTGGCAAATGAAATATTTCATTCATCCTGAAACAACTTCTTTGTTTTGATGAGAGAGCTGAAAAATTGTCATTTTGGGTTAACTCAAAACAATGTTGTTTGTTTTTTTTTTTTATAATTTTTCGGTTTAGCCACCAAACCAAAAAATCAATTATTCACCAAGTTCCAGTCCTGAGAATTTATGTTTCTGGTAGACATATTTTATGTGACAGCAGTGGGTTATGTGTGTAGTAGCAAAATCTCCAACTAAGCAGGTACTTGGTTAACATCTACAGACATCAAATATTTGTAAATTGTTAACAAGGTTAAGGAAAGGAATTGGTTAGTGGGATAAAAAAGTATAACTATGTGTGGTAAATACTAGATATTGGGTAACATTTTCAAAAGTTCCAGATTTTTAAAGGTATTCAGGGCCTAAAGATGTGGATAGATTCCTAATACGATGTTCAAAAGCAACTAGGTGTCTAACTCCCCTGAAGTGAACATCCCATTAGCTATCTATCTACATCTTTAGGCACCTAAAACCCTTTTAAAATATGTCCCTCTGTGACAGAGCCAGAAATTGACCCTCCTGAGTCCCATTCCAGTGTCTTAACCACAAGACTATTGTTCACTCTCCTTTGCCCAGCAAGATAAAGTCTATAGAAGGTACTTGAATAACTGAAGGGATAAAGAATATATGAAGGTAGGGCCAATAAATACATAAAGAAGATGGATTTCTGCATAGAAGGCAATAACTTACAAATTAAGGTCTGCTACCGGAACCCTTTCTTAGATGAGTATCACACCAATGAAATCAAGGGAACTATTTGGGTGAGCAAGGTCTGGAGGGTTGAAAATTAATATGAATGTCCAAGATTTTCAGAAGTAACTAGATGTTGAACTCCAGTTTTCAGTAAGTGGGAGCTCAGTGCATTCTAGAAATCAGGCCCCTTCATGTTGTCTCAGATTAGGGAACCAAAATCAACAGACATTTCTGGAAATCTTTGCCAATATTTCTCTATTGTGCCAGTAACTATGTGGTTGAGAAGCCATTTTATTTACAGTAGCAAAGAACCCAGAAGAGGTGGGAGATTGCAATAGAGATGCAAACCCACAATACAATATTAAGGCAAAAATACACAGTAGTATTGCTGAAGATATTGCAAGGAATGTCTCCAAAGGCTGCAAAGTGACATCCACCCCTCAGATTCTTGATAAAGAATTGTCACATTTGCATTACTTCTGTTCAGTATCCTTACAACAGTGTATTATCTGGTATAGTTGGCACCATGAAGATCTTGACCTTTGCCACCTGTAGCTACATGGCATGTAGAGTACTACTCATTGTAAATATAGACAGTACAGCAAATAGCAGTAGCAAATACTGTGGCTGGCACAGGTAAATACTCTGTGATGGTAAATGTCAAGAAGATAATGGTGTTCGTTATATGTTGATTCCTTGTTTTCCTGCAAGTTCCCTATTTTTGTCTCCTATATTGAAAATTGTTTCTGTTGGGATCTAGTATTTCCCCACTTTCCCCAGAATGTTCCTCAATTTATGTTTTCTCAGGTGGCAACACGTCTTCCATCTGGATTGAACTACCTTGGCCATCTCCAGCATACAGTATGTGCACTGTGTCTCATATATATTTCCTTAACCACCCACCTGGTTAGAGAGAGATCTTCTTCTATAGAAAGACACAGTCCTAAACATTCCACATTCCATCACTAGATAACACATATACAAATAACTGGATCCCTTTTTGTCATTCACCTGCCTTTTTATTGCTACAGTTCACATCTAGTTACTTAATGATCAGGAGGAAGGGGTGGGATGTTTTTGGTTTTGGTTTGGTTTGGTTTGGGGGGTTTTGTGTCTCAAAACCTTTGGGGAGATTGCCAGTGACATTTAAAGCAACAGGATTTCTTCTTGTTCAGTGGGCAGATGGGCCTGAATTTAGGTTTTTTGGGTAGGATGCTTCTGTGATTAGCATGCTAGCTAGTGTCTTGGGAAACATGGGTCAAGTTCCCTGCTCTGTAACAGACTACTTCTGTGAGGTTAGGCAAATTACTTACTCCCTGTGTCTCAGTTACCCATTCATAAAATGGGGATGATAGAACTTCTCTGTCTATCAGGGATGATGTGAGGATCAGTATATTTTAAAAATTGTGAGGTGCTCAGATACTAAGATGGGGGGGGGGGGCTTTGAGTACTTTAGGTAGATAGATGTTAAGTTGCTGTTGTTCCCCACCATTTTTTATCCAAAAATGACAAACCTGCTCCAACAGACCACCTTAAAATGAGTGTCTTTCAGTCCCAATGGGAGTAGCCATTCGCATCATTACACAGAAGCCAGGTAACGTACCCCAGCCAGGCATAGTATTGTAAGTAGAGAGAAGACCATGAGAGCTTTCTTAACCCTATCCTAGATTTTCAGTGGGAGCAGGAGCAAGATCCGGAAGGCAAGTCCAGGTCCTGCCTTTAAGGGTATGGAGGTTCCCCAGGCACCTGAGGGAGTGTGGTCCCACTGCACCAAAGGAGAGGGCTGTGTACGCGTGCATGCTGAGAAGGTGCAGACAGAAAACTGAGCTTGGAAGAGGCTCTTTGCATGGCAGCAGGCAGGGGTAGGAGGGGACAGGACATGCACAGTCCAAGGGAGTTAGGTATAGCTGGGCTAGAGTATCTGCCATTGTCTGGATTCTCCTTTCTTGTCCCTATGGGGAAGGGCAGCAGAAGCGGGACTGTATCCTGAGGTAACGGAGTCTTCTTCCCTGGTCCCTGTGCATCTGCCCCGCAACCAGCCCAGTAACGGAGGTCAGGCACTGGGCACAGGCTGTGCCCGTCAGTGACTAATGCTCAACATCGTTGTCTGGGCACAGTAACTCCCCTTAAAGTCTTTTCAGCTGTGTGGCTGTTTATAAGATTCTAAATCTAAGGGTCAAACAAAGTGAACTCAGTAAATAAGAGAGGTATCATTGCCTCCTACGATGAATCAATGAATCGACTCCCAGGAGCAGGGACTGTGGTGATTTAAGATGAAGGTAGACGCTGATGGTCTTTTCCCTTTATAGTGTCTGCGTGCTTGACAAATGGATGTCAATGCAGCTCTTCTTGAAGGCAGATGGAGAGTATCCCTCAGTTAGACAGGAAAAGGTCCAAAAATCCTGGTTGGAGTTGCATCATCATCAGAGCAAATCCCACAGGGACATAGCCTCCTTGCAGATTGAGCACTATCTGCATTGATCGTTGGGTTGAAATTCCCCCCAAGAAACAAAACATTTTGGGCCCAGTCATGCCATTTGGATGCTGCCTCATGGTGGGGAACTTCAGCCCCCTGGTGGAGCAGAAGGGGGAACCCCGCAAGGGCGCCTGATAAGCTTCCGTTACTCCACTTTGCATGAGCAAATTCCTCCCAAGCAAGAATGCATACACTTCCATATCTGTTTTACACACTCAAATGTAGATTAATCATGCATTTGGGCACCCAAATGAGCTATTTAGGTGTCTAGAAATAGATTTAGATGCCTAACTTTGGACTCTTAAAAGGCAGTCCCCTGTGGTCCATCTACACTGCAATAAAAGACCTGTGGCATGGCCACAGCTGGCCCAGGTCAGCTGACTTGGGCTCACAAGGCTTGGGCTGCTGAGCTAAAAATTGCAGTGTAAGCAGTTGGGCTCAGGCTGGAGCCTGAGCTCTGAGACCCTCCCCTCTTGTGGGGTCTCAGGTCCTGAGTCCCAGCCCAACCCTGAATGTCTACACTGCAATTTTTAGCCCCGCAAGCCCATGTCAATTGACCTGGGCTCTAACTCTTGGTGCTGTGTTGTTGTTTTTTTTGTTGCAGTATGGACATACCCTGGGAGGTCACTCCCTTTACTCCTTTTGTCATGTTTGCTGCCCATCTTCAGATCTCCAGTCTATCAATGTTTTTTCCCCCTATACTGAAGAAGACTCCACAGGACTCTAGTTGTAGCCTAGTATAGAGCATAAACTGCTTTAGGACTTCTTTTATACCTTTGCGTATAAACATAGCTTCAGCACTTTTGCAACAGCATCACATTGCAAGTTCATATCTGATTTGTTGTCTGCTCTCATTCCTATATATGTCCGTACGTCTTTCTATCCAATAATCTCACATTTCATACATCTACATGGTATTCTTTTTTGCTGTGTATATTAAATGTGTGCCATTTTTCTGGGGTAATTCTCATTCATTTTAATGCTTTTTTCCAATGTTGTTGGATCTTTCTGACTCTTCTCTCTATCCTTCAATGAGTTTTCCTGTTTCCTAGTTCTCCTAGCCCCTGATTCAACACCCACAGGAGTCAGTGGGAGTCTTTCCATTGACTTCAGTAAATTTGGGATCAGGCACTTAGTTCAGTGTAATGAGTGAGTTTGATAACGTCATTAATAAACAACTTATTTTTTCATCCAGATTTTTTCTTATGAATACTTTAAACAACCTATATCCCCAAAACCTAAACTTGATCCCACTTCTTAGTTTGATATTTAACCATTTGTAGTTACTTTGCATTTATGGGCTATCCACCAAATTCGTATGTCTCCCATGGTATTCTTTGATCTGTCTTTCTTGTGGGATGCTTATTAAATATTTGTTATTCAACTATTATAACACAAAGTGGGTAAATATAAAGGTGAGATCCTGGCTCCATTGAAGTCAATAGCAAAACTGACTGATCCAGTGGAGCCAGAATTTCATCAGTCAAACTGTTCATAATAGATCTAGAATTACAGACACCCAATATCATACCATTTAACCATTTGTATTCACTTTTCAGAAAATAATGAAGCGTCTTATTAAGCGATATGTCCTGAAGGCTCAGGTTGATCGAGAGAATGATGAAGTCAATGAAGGCAAGTGGCTTTTACAATTAATGAGGTTACAATCACTAAAGCTGAAATCATGCATCTCCATTCAGTTCCAAACTGATATGTCAAATCATAAATCAGATGGGTGAGACTGTCTGGGGCAGCTTCTGGAGAGGCAGCATGCACAGGCATGCCCTGGTGGGCATAGATTACTTCAAACCATCTTGCCCTTGCAATTTCGGTCCTTTCTGTGGGCTGAAATGATCTCTGGTGTAATTTAGGTTGTCTAGGGAGGTTCTCTAAGTTACAACAGACCTACCCTTGGAGTTGTCCAGAATCACCATAGTGGCATGATGTATGGACCCACCTCCTCTTTCCTCAGAGCCCTTCGCTAAGCCCCTACACCGGGCTTGTGAAGGGACCTGCGTAGGGCAGCTTCCAACTGTCCTACCCAGTGCCTGCACTAGACAAATTCTCCCCCAGTTGGTTAAGAGGCTTTCCTAGACCCTGTACATCATCACGGTGGCATACAGGGGTCAGAGCAGAGGAAAGAATCCCGCCCAGTATCTCTGCTAAGCTTTCTACACTTTACATCACAAACAAATCTTTTAGTTACATAGGACACCTTCAGCACCATTTCACCATACAGCCAACGCCACCCTTTTTTCCAACAGACCCATACTTCTTAACAGCACATTACCCTGTACATTCATATGGGCCTTAGAAAGCCCCTTTTAAAAACACTGGCCTGAGCTATCCCCTCTGCAGCTGGAAGGGATGGACTCGCTGCCATTCCCCACTCAGTATATATGGAAAAGGGAATGCTGGCGAGGGAATGGTATCTCATCCTAAAAAGCCGCTGTGTAGCTTGGAAATCTGTATGTGGAGAAGGAGTGGGCTTGGAAAAAACAAGAACTCTCCGCACATTACTGTTGTTAGCAGTATTAATAGAGTTTGTTTCATTAAGCCCGTGGGGGGGGGGGGAGGATTTTGTGTAACTGCTACTCTATGGAGGTTCCCACACATTTAGTGCCAAGCCTATAGTTTGTGTTCCCAAATGAACTCATTCTCATGAATTAAAACACGGTGATGACTTGTTTAATTCAGTCTCATTTACAAGAACATTTTTTTTAATTGTAGGAGAACTTAAAGAGATTAAGCAAGATATTTCCAGTCTCCGCTATGAGCTTCTAGAAGAAAAGTCAGAGGCTACTGGAGAGTTAGCAAGACTAATACAGCAGCTGAGTGACAAGTTTGGGAAGAACTTAAATAAGGACATTTGACGGTGATCAAAGAAAGAGACAACTCGTTTTCTAAACATTATTTGATATTTCAACCAGCATTTTAAGAGAGCAAAAACAGTGCAAGAGATGGGTACTGAGCCCTCAACTTTTGCCACCTAAGAAATATTGGTAAGGGCACCGTGCATTAGAATATGTTTTTGGGTAAAGCCAACGATCAGTTAATATCTTTACGATATAAAGGTGACATTTTGGTATAAAACAAGCCCATTGACATCAGAAATAGATGCACCATCTCCAAAAGATAATCATGCTTATATTAGATACAAAGCACCTTTTAAAAAAGGCAAACAGCCAAATCCTCAGCTAGTATGAATCAGCATAGTTCCATTGAAGTCAATGGAGCCAAACAGATTTATATCAACAGGAGATCTGACCCCTAGGGCTTAGATCTGGGCTTAGATCTGCAGAAAAATATTCCACGAATATTCATTAAAACTTTTAAACAAATTCACCTTCACTTAGATGTGTGCACTCCTTTTGTGCTTGCTTTCCATGGACACCCATGAAATTGAGTTAGAATAGCATTGAGGTTAATAGAAAGCAAATGTGAAAACACATACTAAAATATAGTGATCTCAAATTGCCTTCCTATGAGGATTTATACTAGGAACTTCATTTCAAGAGTTAACTCATTCAGTCAAGGAAGAATAACAACATCATGTGACTTGTGACCAATCACAATGTGGCAACTCAGCTCAGATTTTGAATAGCATCAATGAAATTCACAAGGAATGTTTCAGAATGGTTTCAAACTATGAATACATTTGGAAAAAAAACCCACCTCAAGCTGGCTGAGGACTTTCCGTCAACAAAAAGGGGAATTTGTCAAAAAAAAAGGATTTGCTAGGAGTTATTTGCTCAGGCACAGTAAAGAAAAACAGGGAGAAGTTTTAACAATTAAACCAATTTACAAGCTGCAGTAGTACAAAGTCCTCCGGTTGTACCCTTACAAGGGAAAATTTCAGAACATGATGCAGCTGAAAACTCAGTTGCTTGTTTATTTGGTGTTTTAAGCTGCTAAAGCACACCTTATTACTTTGGAAACACCAAACTGTACTGTTTGTTTACAAGGTGCACCTATGAGATGACCATTACATTTAGATATCAGCTAAGAAAAATAAGCAGAATCCGAAGGTGACCTGTGATCAGTTCTTAAGTGCCAGACGAGAACCCAGATAGCCTAGTAGAGTAATAGTTATATTTGTAAAAAAAACAAAAACAATAAAAAGAAAAAAGTGTACTGTAGGTAAACCTGTTTAGAGAAAAAAATCAAAATAATGTATTTTTACCTTTAATAAGATTATCTTGTATACTGTAATATTTTTACCTAAAAATGAGGGGGCGGGGAATAAAATTACCTCACAATATTTGTTGCACCTTGAGTGAAATATTTGTCTGATATTTTAAATACTCGCCGAGGAAATAGAAGTTTCACTGGCTGTTGACAATGTGTGAGCAGGACCAAAGTTACATATGCTACCAGCCTACTGCTGAGGAGAGTCGAAAAGCATCATAGTATAATTATAGAACTAGAATTTCTGGAATTCTTCATAGTCTCCACTCTGAATAACTCCATAAGGATGATACTTAGTGTGAAATCACTGTGTTGAGATTCATACATGAATGCATGGACACCTACTGAGACGGTAAAATAGAAATGAGATCACTTCAGTCATGTCTATTTGTGCTACTGAATTTCTAGTTGGAAATAAGATGGGTAACATTATTTGGACTAAGTTTAGAGAAGAATTGGCTGAAAAGACAACTGATGCTGTCTTCCCTGGACCTGACCTATCACCTGACATGTTACACTGTGCCAGTATACATTAGCATTTTCCACTGCTGTTGTTCACAATGAAGGGACAGGGCTTTGCTTTACAATCAACTGCTATGCAATATCATGATCAAATTCTCACCGCACGGTGTTCGCCAGGAAGGCAACCCGTAATAGCACTGTATAACAGGTTTTCTTTTAACGTGTACTATTCATGATTATTTTGAGCTACTTTCCTCTGCCTAAACCTATGAATATGGCTCATGTGAAGTGCTTGATTTTCACTTTGAAAAGAGAAATGATTTAGCCAGACCGTGTTTATCAAGAAAAGGGTTTTCAAAAAGACTTTGGAATGATGGAATATAATCCTCTGTACAATCCAAAATAATACCATCATATCACGTGAACCACTTCCAGTTACTGCCCTGTGCATTTCAGACAAAAATTGTGAATTGCAGGGAGTGCTGTCATGAAATCAGGTGCAAAATCACATGCATACTCATTTGCATTCAGACAGTAAGACGATTGCCACTCTATCTTCTATATTACATCTAAAATTGTGCAATTAGAGTCATAGTTATAGAATTTTAGGCCAGAAGAGACCACCACAGCATCTACTCTGATCTGTACATCACAGGCCAGCAACACCACCCAGAGCTTGCACACTAAATCCAAGAGCTGAAATTGCACCAAGGAATTACAGCCTTTGGGAGACTAAATTCTAATTCTAATTCTGCATGGCTTGATCCAAAACCCAATGACAGTAATAGGAGTGTTTCATTTGACTCTAATGGGCTTTGGATCAGGCTCTAAGAGATGAAAATTGCAGTCAATGAACATTCTGACAAGGACGATTAGTGCTGTAATATGAATAACTTTGTTGAACCATGTGCTTCTGCACGGAGGCTTTCATATTTCCATTCAGTTGCCACTTGCTTTTCTGATATGTAAATGCAGCGTTGCAGGTCTGTCATAACCAGGTAGTTAACTTATTGTTCTGCATGCAGTAATTTCCCATAAGTGATCATAATACCACTGTAGATTTCAAGAGGAGAATAAAAGAAGGGTAGGGAAAGTTCTGGAAAAAAAATACGCACAAGTCTTCACCCAGATTTGAAAATAAATTTGATTTAGTTGTAATTGCATTCCTTTTGTGTTCACTTTAAATGACCTATCAAGAGATTGAGAGCTACGCAGATGAATGCTCATGGCATGCAATTTTTAAGCCTCCCTGCTTGAGATATTTTGTATGGGGGGAGACATCAGTTGACACAACCAAGTGACCAGTTTCTCAAAACCCCTGGTTAGGCCATTGGCTCAAAGAGGCAGCTAAAGAAGTCAGACAAGGCTCAGAATGGAGCTTTCTTAAAAAATAGATTATTTTTTTTAGTGGTTGGGGTTTTATCAGTTGTACAAAAAGCTTCTTGCATTGCCCAAACTTTTAATTTTTTTCATGAACCAATTCAAAACTGAAACATCCTCTTTCAATTGATCTGAAGAGAAAAAAAAATTTCCTTTAAATATGATTTGAATTGAATCAAAACAAGTTTCTTTTCATTCAAAAGCCAAACTTTTTGTCACAGATGGTTTGGCTGAAAAATATAGCAAAGGAGCAAATGCTTGAAAACTTAAACATTAAGGTGAGTGGAAGTGGGTGGGTATATGGATCACTGTACATTTGTCTCAATCAGTTGGTGATGGATAGCAATGCCATCCCTTTGGGGCAGTACTTCTTTGCCAAAAGCACTTAGCCTCTTTCTTGTGTTTTAGGAGGAGCTGGTTGAAAAACATGGTCTGGGGGGAATAATGTAAATGTTTGTGAAACTTTGTCTGCTCTTTGCCAAAACCTTCCTGGCCAGTACCACCCATTTGTCTCAAGGTAGCCGGTCCCTGTAAATAGATTAAGCCCAGTGCCCCCTGGACCACATCAGGTGAATCCAGTCCAGCTAATTAAAGAGGGTTGGGCTACACCTGGGCCTTTACAGGGCTGCTAGTGGGCAGCTGGAGGAGGAAGGATTGAGACAGGCTGAGCCCTGGGGAGGAGAAACCATGCTGGAGTGGAGCTAGCCCCTGTAATGGGGTGCTGGAGCAAGGGGCTAAGGGCTCAGGGAAGCAGCCCTGCAGATGCTGCCCCAGGAAGGGAGGAGATCTGACTGAGGCTGGGAAGCTGCCTGGAGCAGAGGCCCAAGGACTGAGTTAAGATTGTTTCCTGTTTGTTTGATAACCTTGGTCAAGGAAATAAACCTCCTTGACTGAGAGTGGACATGGCAGCACATGCTCTGGAGCTATGGCAAAGGACAGCTCGATGACACCATCACTGGCCTCGACACTATCACCAGGGATTTAGCAGAACCAGAAGATCTACCACTGATATGGGTGGAGAACGTCTCCCTGAATAAGGTCCCTAGGGAATGGATCTATACTGAAGAACCACTTGGACATTGAGAGTCTCACCATTTGCTGAAGCCTCTGTAATTTTGTCCAGACCAACAAAAAAGAAGGACCTAGATGACATCACTATCTCCAGGGCTTTGTCCTGAGATGTGACTCTGAAATTCCTGCTATTTCTCTTGCCCAGTGGCTCCATTTCTTTGCTCGCCTTCTTCTCCCTCCCTTTTCTCTCTTCCTTTTGTCTTCTATTTAATAAGGGTCTGGATTAGCCAGTCAGGACAAATCTAACCTTGCATCATTTTGCTGTGACCAGAAAGGCAAACTATAAACAAAAAGAAAAGGAGTACTTGTGGCACCTTAGAGACTAACCAATTTATTTGAGCATAAGCTTTCGTGAGCTACAGCTCACTTCATCGGATGCATGCTGTGGAAAGTTTAGAAGATCTTATTATATACACACAAAGCATGAAAAAATACCTCCTCCCACCCCACTCTCCTGCTGGTAATAGCTTATGCTCAAATAAATTGGTTAGTCTCTAAGGTGCCAAAAGTACTCCTTTTCTTTTTGCGAATACAGACTAACACGGCTGCTACTCTGAAAGCTATAAACAGTGGCTTGTTCTGGTAAAAGTTTGCCAGGTCCCATAGTGGTTAACTGGGTCTTGAGTGATACGCTTTGCCTGTGGGTTTTTTTTCCAGCGAGTACGTTGCAAGTGTCAGAGAAACAAGCTGCCTGTTCTTATCTCTTACTGTTGTTGTGTCTCTCCCTTGTGCCTCCCCCTCTCTCCCACCCCACCATGTGCATTTGTCTGAAAGGAGAAGCAGGATTGTTGGGGGTTTTTTAATAGTTGTCACAAATGGGGGCTAGCTGCACCTCTGCCCCCATTCTGGTTGCTCTGAGTGCAGGCCTCTCAGTTCTTGGCCCTTTTGCCCGTACCTATCTTGGGCTGAGTCTTGGGATTTCCCCCTCCCCCCGCCGATGGATCCTGGTGACACTACACTCTGTATACCTACTACTTATCATTCGGCAGGTCTGACAGGGGTTGAGGACCTGCTTTTCCTCCCTTCGAGAGCCTGTGTCCCCAGGAGAGCTGGGTGAATAATAAATGTTTTGGTTCACTGGCAAATTTGGAGAAATTGGAAACAAAAAGGTTTCATTTTTGGATCAAACTGAAAATGACATTTTTGTAAATGTTTCAGTGAGTCAAACAGCCTGAACAATTCTGGGACAAACTTAAATGTTTTGTTTCAGCCAAAATAGTCACAAAACAGCAGAAGCATGCACCTCCATTATGACCTTTAGCCTAGTCGTGAGCGCACTCCCTGGGACATGGCACTTCAAAATTCCCCCCTCTGCCTGATATGGAAAAGGGATCTGAACTTGGGTTTGTCACATTGCAGGATGCTGCCCTAGCCACCAGGCTATGGGATATTCAGGGATAGAGCATGCTCCTTCTCCCCTTTTGAAGCTGTTCCATTTTTTAGGTTCATTGGTGTGCAAGAACTGGAATGCGGGGCTCCCTTCTCCCAGAGGAGTGAGTGTTCCAACTACCCGCTGTAGAATCAGTCTCACTAGCTCTCCAGCCCAATGACTATCTATTGTCATTCCCAGTAGCACTTCATAGTCATTCATGATGACAACAGTGGAATACAGCTGAGGAAATCACAAGTTATTTGCAGACATCCCCCAAGCAGAAAGAGAAGCTAAAGGCATCACCTACTTTATTCTCTGAGAATCATTTTCTTAGCTCTGATTACAAGAATAAGACAAACCTGGTTAGCTGGGTCTTGAATGATTGTGATTTTTCCAGCAACTAAATTGCAAGCATCAGAGAGACAAGCTGCATGTTCTTATCTCTTACTGTTGTTGCGTGTCTCTGCTGCGCACCCCCCCCGCCCACCTCCTCCCCATGAGTGAGTAGCACATAGGAATCTTTGTACTGGATTAGACCCCTGATCCATCTAGTTCAGTAACCTGGCCAGTGCTGTACCAGTTCACGGCGAGCGCTGAGTTGGAACATACTACAACACTGCTCCATGCATCTGATGAAGTGGGTTTTAACTCATGAAAGCTTATGCCCAAATAAATTTGTTAGTCTCTAAGGTGCCACAAGTACTCCTCATTCTTTTTACTGTCCCAGTACTATGTTGTAGTTGAGCCAGAATGCATGCAATAACCGCCCTCTGCTTTGTGCCCTTGGCCCCCTTAATCCTCACTTGTTCTCCCCTGCCCCCTACAGGTCATGCACCCCTGCCCCAACCTAGGCATTGTCACTCCACATTCCCCAGCTTAGGGCCTCAACCAGCTGCCCTGCGTCCCACGGCTG